TTCGGATAGTTTTATTGTCGATTTAAACCATCATGCAATCTCTGAGTTGTGGATATTTTCATTTACTGATATGACCAGAGCTCCTTGACACTGCAATATCGACAAGTGGTTCAGGTCCCTCTAATGGTGTTGTCGTTTGAGAGCTTCAAGTCCCTCTGCTTAATATCAACATTTTCCGGAATGAGATTGTCAACTTTTCTGTAAGTGTTACATGTTTCATTCCAGAGAGATTTTATTTCATCGCTTGCGTTTTGTTTAAAGTAACCACAGAGTTGCAGCCTCGCCATTTCAACATGGCACTTAAGCAATTTTACGTTGAGGCCTCCAGATTTGTAGGGCAGAGAAAATATTTCTGCGACGCAGCTGCTTACTCATGGTCAGCCAATTTCTCACGGTTTCTGTTATCAGATGGCCTAATGTATTTTCTATCCATGTCAATAAAATGTCGTACATACGAAGTTCAAATATTAATTGGGATGGAACAAAGCGTCTTAGAATTTCAAGTTTCCACTGGACGGATGTATCTAATTCATCAATGTAGTAATATTCGTTTGAGTTTACTATGTAGTAAAGTCATAAAGTCGAAGTCATAAATTTTTCCAAAATATGTGAAATGATCATTGATGTTGATCTGAGGGATCGTCTCGTTATCTATTGTTAAGTTTGGGAGAAATTGTTCATATCTTCCGTCGATTTTTTGCATCCCAAATGTACAACATTTATCTATTCTCATCCTCATACCTGTCGATCGGCACCAAGTTAGATTGAGATCAATCAGTATTTTGGCTCCCTCTGTACTGTTTGCAATGATTGCTGAATAGTCAGCAAATTGGAGCCAAGGTCGTGACTAGGCTAGCAATTTGTTCCCAAATGTATCCGCATTGTTGGTAATATTTTTAATGTAATACTTCCATTAGAGGATTGAAGTATAAGTTGAAAAGCAAGGGGGAGCTGGGATCGCCTTGCAGTACTCCACGTTTCACCGGAATGGGTGGAGTTAAATTATCACACACAGATACAGTTATGGAGTAATTAGCATATATTAATCTAATCAAATTGCTCACTTGGTCCGAGATATGGTGGTGTTGAAGGACTGATGAAATGAGATCATGACTAACTTCACCAAACGCATTCCGTAAGTCCAGAAGAGTAACAATGATAGTCCTCTGGTGCTTCTTTGCGTCTCTCAGTAGATGAGACATTAAATGGGTGTGTTCAGCTACACCGTCTACTTTTGGGTAGAAACCTTTCTGCATTGTTTTATTGATAATGTTATTCATTTCGAGATATTTGTATAATCTATTATTGACAAATGTTGAAAACATTTTATAGAAAACTGGTTGAAGCGTTATTGGCCTGAAGTTTGCTGGATCGCTGGCGTCACCTTTTTTGTGAATCAATATCGTCAAGCTCTTTCTCCAGCGTAAAGGGATTGACGATGATTTCCAGCATTCAACCAGCAGTTGGTGTAAAATTGTGTGTAAAATTATTAGACATTTTTTGAGAATTATTATTGATATTTGATCCAAGGGGCAGGGAGATGCTCTTGACTTGCATTTACGAATGATTGATAAAATTTCGTTGTATGTTGGGGGGTCAACAGAGCATAGAAATGATGGACCCGGCAGAATGTGGATCCAATTTGGCAGACGGAACTTTTTGTTGTGCTGATTATTTAAAATATTTTTGAAGAATTTTCCACATTCTGTAACGTTGAAAAAAGTTATCGAACTATTTGATGGGTTAAACAGTTTTTTGCAAATAGGTCAAAATTTCTGTTGCAATTGATTGGTAATATCTGAGTTCTTCCTATATTTTTGTGCTTTCAAGGCCGATAACTTTGATCTTATTTCTTTACCAAGCGCTTTGATTTGCAAGTCATATTGTGATTGTTTTGGCCCATAGGCGGATCTAGACAAAATGGGGGCAAAAATGGGATATTAAGGTTCTAGTTTGACACATCAAATTTAGTTTATTGAAACCATATTTTTAACTTGCTTTTTTAAATATAAATACATGCTTCTTAATTTTTTTTCGTTTCATTTATTTTTGTTCAACTTAGCTAACTGTACGTACTACGTTGTTTAAATAAGCGGGTAATTATTAGCAAAAATGATTTAATCAATAAACTTTTAAAAAGAATATGTTGGCTAAATTTTAAAAAAAGTTTTAAAAAAATCGTTGCTTTTAAATTTTTTAATCAAAACAAAATGGATTGAAACTTTTTTAAATAAGTTTTAAATGGTTTTACAAAAAAGCCATACGATGCGGTCTTACTTTACTAAATTTATCTATTATGACATCGGATGGAATATCAATATTTTGATGAATATTCATGAGAGATAATCCATTAAGTCTATCAGCGACCATTTTGGATCTTAAATAAGTTTTCAGCCTTTTCAAAGAGGAAAAACTTCTTTCATTTCTGGCAGTTGATGATGGTCTGACTGCTGATATTAAAAAGATAATTCTAATGTTAAGATATAACATGATATCTGCCTGCTTCATTCAAGGAATCTACAAAATTAATAATAAATTTTTCTTTTTCTTTGTTTTCTTGCCATTTAACCCATCATCGCTCGTATTCCGATTGTAAACTTCGTGCCGACGGCAAATCAGGAAAAGCTTCGGCAAGCATCTGAAGTTGATTTGTGAACAAAGGGTTTAGTTCTCTCAACATGAAAGACGGAATTATTTTTGCAGCTAATGCTTTGTCGTTGTGTTTTTGAGTAAAAAATCTGATGGAATATCAATATCTTGATGAATATTCATGAGAGATAATCTATTAAGTCTATCAGCGACCATTGTGGATCTTAAATAAGTTTTCAGCCTTTTCAAAGAGGAAAAATTTTTTTAATTTCCGGCAGTTGATAATGGTCTGACTGCTGACCCTGAAGTTTGCAAAATTACATTTAGTGGTTTAGTATAATTGAGTACAAATTCTGCACTCATCAAAGCAGAGACATGTGAAAAAAGAAATTCATTCCATGTTTTAGAGATTAAGTCCTTAAATTACATTATCGAGAAAAGGTATAAAAACTGTCTATAATAAACCATTGGGCCATTATTTGGCAAATTGAGCTTCATAATTTGCTTATTGCATAATCTAGGAATGTATGGTTCTGCTCCAGAAAAGTTGGCTTAATTTTTTAATATTATTAAATATTTCCGGAAAACGATTGTCTACATCGTTTCTTACGGCATTTAATGTTTTGCTTGACATAAATCTAACCCTGAGGTTTGCAAAATTACACTTAGTGGATTAGTATAATTGAGTACAAACTCTGCACTCATCAGAGCAGAGACATATGAAAAATTGCTGTCAGCTGCTAACAGTTCTGCTGCATTTGATGCAGTTTTTCCATAACATGCAGTTGAAATATTCTCTAAAGCTTTAACAACAGCTTTATACAACTCTATAAAAACTGTTAGAAAATTCACTTGTTCTACTCTTTAACAACAGTTTTACACAACTCTATAAAAACTGTTAGCAAATTCCCTTGTCTGACAGTGTTGTTTTAATTTAGTTTTATTGCTTTCTGGTGCATATTCTTTAATTGCATCTTGAAGAAATTTCATTCGTTTTGGAGCCCTGTTGTGTCAGTAATTTCAACAAAACCAACAAATCTCTCTTCAACGATATTATTGGCTCTAACATAACGTAAAAGGACACACATTTGTTCTTTTGTTGAAATGTCGGTAGTTTCATCTGCCAGTACAGAATAATAAATTGATTTTTTGACCATTTCAACTACTTGATCCATAATGTAATTACCAATCAATCGAATAAGTTGTTCTTGGGTTGTTTTACTTATCATGGTGGCGTTTCTAGCTGCTATTGCTGTCAGATGTTTTTGTAATACTTCATTACCACTAAATGTACTGTATTTTAATAGCGCTCTGAAATTCCCCTGATTGTTATCCGATTTGAGATCTAATGCACCGTCATCCGGTGTCCACGCAAAGCAAAATTTTGTCTTCCACAAAGTTTAATAGTTTCAATAGCAGTGTTAAGCAATTTTCTATTTTGCTCTATTTTTGTGGAAAGAGCGGAGTTTGATAACTCTAAAACATTAGTTTTATTTTTAATCAAACTCAGAAACATTTCTGATTTTTCTGTAACCTCTATATGAAAAAATGTCGCTTGATGACAACGACATTGATCTAACGATTTAAAGGTGATATAACAAATACTCCGACTGGATGTCGATTTGCATAAAGAACACAAAACCTACAGAATGCTCCTTTTTTCAAATCAGAATAAGACAGCCAGGAAAATTCTTGAAACCAATGGAGTTTAAAAAACCGTTTTATTTTACCTTCCAACACAAATGAAAATTTATAATTCTCGTCGGGTTTCCATGGATTTTTCAAAAGATCATATCTTAAATCATTCGAAATGCTTGAGATTTCTGCAGTTGCATATTGTCTAATATCTAAGGTATTGTTTCCTTTGAAAAACTCTGACATGAATTACCATTTTTGTCTGAAACATCAGTCATGTCATCGTTTAAATTTAATAAAAGACCTTTTTCCAAGACATCAGATTCTATAATTGTAAAAAAACGTTGAGATTGAATTTTTTAATTTTCCTACCAGACCTGAATAGTTAAAAACTACAAAATTAATTCAAGTCTAGTCGGGTAATGACTGGTAAACATTAACCCTAACTTAAAAAAGGTTTTTATTATTCAGCTTATTGTTAATTTTTTTAGTTGAAATACAAAATTATTTCATATGCAATTATTGAATATCTAAGTATTACCATTAACGGCCTCAACTGTATTGAGATCATCGCACTGCCTCTGTTTTTTGCCGGAGTAAAAAAGTTTAAAATACTACTTTTTTTAAAAGACATTTTTTTAAATTTTAAAACAAATTCAAATGCAATTTAACGGCAGCCATGTTAAAGACATCTTGTTCTGATCAACAGATGAAATTGATTTTGTTTCCAACGTGCCATAGTTTGAAGCGAAGTAGTCGTATATTAGTGATTGAAGACTGTTGGTGAAGTTGTCAATGTTGTTGACATTGGGTAGATTTGCGAATTTGCCTCTGCCCATTGTTTCGCAGTTTTGGGCAGTTTTAAACCAGGAAGTGGTGTATCGACCTTGTCAGTATTCAGTGTTGTTGAGGGAGGGACAAGTGATTGCCGCTGTGAAGAAGGTAACTCGAGTTGGAATCATCATCTGGGTCGTTTGTTGTACAATCCAAATTTGAAAAGTTTTTAAATATTTTTCACGTACGTTGGTGCATCCGTAGACCCTTTCTGCCTTTACAGCTTCTACCACAGCAACAAACAATTGAATTATTGTCAATATTAATTGAATTATTATTATTGTTTGAGTTATTAACTAAAATATTTGGAGATATATTAATATTATCCTTTGGAGATAAACGTGTGCAAATGTTATTGTTGACTAACGTAGCCTTTGTACAACGCCAGGAGTGACTATTAACATTTATAAAGTCTTTAAAGTACTATGAACATTTACTTGCGTTAACTGTTCAAATTAAATTTAAAATCAAAATTAAAATAATTAAATATTTAAAATTAAAACTATTTAAGAAATTATTGACCGCCATAATTTTACGCGACTTCCGAACCAATTTTCAAATTATTAAACTTGTAAAAACCGATTAAAATATACAAAAACAGTGAGTAAGCAAAAATCTGCCAACTCTAATGTTTTAGCATACAATAATAATAATATTAATAATGGGAACATCTTTCATTTTTCACCATAAAAAACATACAATAATAATAACAATAATAATAATAATTTGAACTTTTTTATTATTGCAGAAGACATAAAATCAAATCAAAATAGATAAAATAAAATAAAATAAATTGTTAATATTGTAATAAATTGTTAATATTGTTATGCACGATCCTCCCATGCTCCTTGACAAAGGTAAGTGCATAGGAGTAAGAAATATATTTTAAAAATAGTTTACGTGTTTTAAAAATAAAAAATATTTTAAAAATAGTTTAAGTGTTCCTATCACAATAAATTCCGTATGATGAGCGAATGATAGTGTTAATTAGTCTTCCATCAAATGAAATTGGCCATGGCATTTGAAAGAGAGGTAAGTTAAAATTATTAAAAAAACCTATTGGCGAAATTTCAAATGACTTTACTATTACAGAACAGTCAGTATAATCATTGTTCAAATATGAATTTAGATTTATGTATTTTTGACGCTTGTATTGTTTTGATGTCAGGAGGTTTGTTTCGTGGCATATCGTCAGCTCTAAAACTACTATTTTGTTGTTTTGCAGAATGGCAAAGTCGGGACGTAGCGTGTTGAACTGTCGCGACACAGGACGAATATTTTCAATTTTCAGATCTGCAAACAAGCAGCAGTCAGATGGAGCGTGCAACTGCAAGCAATTGAGGATCAAAGACAATATCTTGTTGTGTCTCTCGATGTATCTCACTAGGGCTGTAGGTGAACTACAGTTTGACACATGTTTGTTCGTCTGTCGAACATTGCCGGATCAAGCCTGTCTGCATAAAACAAGTCTTCAACTTCTAGGTATTACTCTTGATCCGTCTCTAACTTTCAAAGCTCACACTTCTACTCTCATCAAAATATGTAATTACATTATTTGATCTATTCGCCATATTCGACCTTTTCTTACAGTCTCGCTGCTTTGTATTATCTCGCCTTGACTACTGCAACTCTCTGTTATATGGCACTCAGGCGTATTTAATTTCCTCTCTTCAGATCATTCAAAACAGATTAGCCAAACTTGTTTTAGAATTACCTCGTTTATTTTCTAGTGCAGGTGAGCAAGAGATCTTGCTCACCTGCACTGGCTGCCGATTCATCAATGCATTAAATATAAAATTGCTGTCATCACATAAAAAAAAACTCAACAAATCTCAACCATTATATCTTCACAAACTCATTCGCCTTCGCTCATCTGTTAATCATCTACCCAATGTCAACAACATCGACCTTTGTCTGCCGTCATCATTGCAGCTGCATCAACCAGTCAATAAATCAGCTCTCGTCAATAAAGGTTTCTCACATTGCCCACCATCAATATTGAACAGTTTGCCACTCATCATCCGTCAACAATCATCAATAGAAACGTTTAAAAAGCGATTGAAGCAGCAACTCTTAGAACAGGCCTTTGGTGGCCGTGCTGACATTTGTTTATCCGGGCGCCTCTGACGCTATGCATAGATAATAATAATAATTAATAATAATAATAATGAGAACGATCTTTTTTTATTCAGCAATAGAAAAAATGAAAATTACAGTACAAGTAAAATAAAATAATGAAATAAAATAAAGTGTCAAATGCAATAAATAGAGTATTAATCTGAGAAGCTCATCATTCGAAACGAGAGAGTACGACCGGAGTTAATTAGTTTAAAAATTGATTCATTTCACATTTCTGTCGCAATAGATAGCGTACGACGATGATATGGCAGAGTTTATAAGGTTATTGCAAAAATAATCAGTCCAAATTATATTTATTAGCGAAAGATTAAATGTTTTAAACAGTGGCGTTCCTAGGGCCTTTGAGGCCCGGGGCGGAAATATTTGTGATGCCTTTCATAAATAAATAATATGTATTACATATACATAGATATTATATGGTGGATGTAATGATTATCTGCTTGGTCGTTGAAGTCAGTGTCATCGAGTTCGAAAGCATACCATGCTGTTCATCCCAAAGACCATCATATGGTCGCTTATTTGATGCAATGGCAAAAAGAAATGGTAACATATGTCTATACCTCTGCCAAGAAATTCATCGACAAAAACTAACCACAGTCCATATTTTGTGGAAATTGATGGTCGCCGATGTCCAGAAAAGGATAAGCCACTTATTCTTTTTTTCATTTTTTAATTGGCTGATGATGCAGAAAATAAATGAAAAATGTTTTTATATTTTGTTTTACAAAAATGCAATATACATAGATACAAAACATTTACACATGTCAGTACACATATGCCACAAAATTTTGATTCAGCTAATCGAAAAATATATTAAAACTGTTTTTTACGAGATTTTGCATCAGAAAATATTTGTATTGTTTCATCAAAGT